CCTTACCAAGGCATTGTAAAGTGGTATTAACACTTCACGTGATCTTGATTCTATCCCTCTGTTAATGCAGCCTAGCACTGTGTTGGCCTTTTTGGCAGCTGCAGCACACTGCTGGCTCATATTTAGATGATTGTCCACTAGGACTCCGAGGTCCCTCTCACAGTTACTACTATTGAGCAAGGTACCCCCTATACTATACTGTACATTTGGTTTTTCTTGCCTAAATGTAGAACCTTACTTTTTTCACCATTGAATTTCATTTTGTTAGATAGTGCCCAGTGTTCAAGTCTGTCCAGATCCTCCTGTATCTTAAGCCTGTCTTCTGGAGTGTTGGTTATTCCTGCCAGCTTGGTGTCGTCTGCAAATTTGATGATTTCCCCATCTATCCCCTCGTCCAAACCGTTGATGAAGATGTTGAAGAGCACTGGGCCCAGAACAGAGCCTTGGGGAACCCCACTACACACTTCCCTCCATGTAGATGCGGTTCCATTGAGGACCACACGCTGAGTACGGCCGGTCAGCCAGCTACGGATCCATCTGGTGGTGATGCTGTCTAACCTACATTTTTCTATCTTATCAAGTAGTAGGTTGTGATCTACTTTATCAAATGCCTTACTGAAGTCTAAGTAAATTATATCCACAGCATTCCTCTGATCCACTAATTTTGTCACTTGGTCAAAGAATGCAATGAGATTTGTCTGGCATGATCTGTTTTTGACAAACCCATGTTGGCTTTTAGTAATGACTTTGTTTGCCTCTAGGTGTTCGCTGATTCGTTGTTTGATTATATTTTCCAAAATATTCCCAGGTATTGAGGTCAGGCTGATAGGTCTGTAATTTCCTGGGTCCGTTTTTTTCCCTTTTTTGAAGATGGGAACTACATCAGCTCTTTTCCAGTCCTCCGGTAGTTCCCCAGTGCTCCAGGATCTTTGAAAAATATAGTTCAATGGTTCTGAGATCACATATGCCAGTTCCTTGAGAACCCTGGGGTGTAATCCATCTGGTCCTGGTGATTTGAACTCGTCTAGGCTGGACAGGTGCTCACTTACCGTTTTCTTGCCTATCTTAACTTACATTTCTATTTTGGTAGGTTGGTCTGTTTTTTCCCTTTGTGTAAAGACAGATGCAAAAAACAAGTTAAATAGTTCTGCTTTCTCCCTGTTGCTTGTCACCTTCTGGCCACTTTCACCCACTAATGGACCAATCATTTCCTTCACTTTTTTCTTGTTTTTTACATGTTGAAAGAAGCTTTTTTTGTTATTTTTGATTTTGGTCGCAAGCCTTAGTTCATTTTGAGCCTTAGCTTTCCTCACTTCATCTCTGCAGGCTTGGGCTATTTGCTGATATTCTGACTTAGTTATGTGCCCCTCTTTCTACTTTCTATACTTGTCCTTTTTATCTTTCAATTTATCAGAGAGTTCTTTATGCAGCCATGCTGGTTTCTTTTGAGAGCTGTTATTTTTCTTCTTTGTTGGTATTGTGCTGGACTGGGCTTTTATTATGTCACTTTTTTATTATCTCATTTTTCAAGTTATTTTATGATCCAGTGCATAATATCCTGCTTTAATCCAGTAAACAAGATAAAATAGGTTTTGGGAAGACAACACTAAATGGAATATTAGAAAGATGGCTGGACGTGGTGAGTTTAACAGAATAACAGAGTTGGAAGGGACCTTGGAGGTCATCTAGTCCAACCCCCTGCTCAGGCAGGAAACCCTATACAATTTCAGACAAATGGCTGTCCAGTCTCTTTTTAAAAACTTCCAGTGTTGGAGCCTTCACCGCTTCTGGAGGCAGGTTGTTCCACTGGTTAATTGTTCTAACTGTCAGGAAGTTTCTCCTTAATTCTAGGTTGCTTCTCTTCTTGATTAGTTTCCATCCGTTGCTTTTTGTCTTGCCTTCTGGTGCTTTGGAGAATAAGTTGACCCCCTCTTCTTTGTGGCAGCCCTTCAAATATTGGACAACTGCTATCATGTCATGTCTAGTCCTTCTTTTCATTAAACTACCCAACTCTAGCAACCATTCATACATTTTAGCTTCCAGTCCTGTAGTCATCTTTGTTGTTCTCCTTTGCTTGTTTGAACGATGTCTCAACATAACTTGTAGCAAGTAATGCCATCCTACAGATATTGGGAGCAAGAGAGATGGCAAAGCAAGGAACAGATGTTGGCTAAAAGAACACTGAGCATGGACTTTTATTCTCTTGGGATGTCGGGTTTGCGTGAATGTGCTGACTGCTTCTTGCTGAAAGAAATAAGCATCATGAAATACAAAAGCTTGCTCTTCCATCTGAAGAGAAACCAAATCTAGTGGTTTGCCTCAGCTGTGAACTCAGCCCTTACAACAGCTGTTTGGACTTCAACTCCCAGAATCCTCTAGCCCTGAGGTCCCTAACCTTCTGGGCACCAGGGACCCGTGCCATGGAGAAAGGTTTTTCCATGGACCAGAGGGGGTGTGATTTTGAATACTGCCTGAATCCCAAGAATGGAGCTTTGCTTGTTTGTGTGGTCTGCTTGTTGATATGCTGTGGACTGGTGCTGGTCCACAGACGGGGTGGTTTGGGTCCCCTGTTCTAGCCAGCATGGAGGCTAGAGGGTTCTGGGAGTTGAAGTCCTTGCCCCTTAAAGTTGCCACCATTGAGAAATTCTACCTTAAGATGTACAGAGTATACAGTATTATTGGGAATATTGACCTGGGTGGACCAACCAGTAGCAAAACAATGGGGCTTTGAGAAGAGAAGACCTGTTCTTGAATGGTCACTAAATGAACTGTTGTAACTTGAGGACTCTCCCTACTCTCAAGTTACTCTGACTTGCAAAAGACAATCAAATCAAGTTGGATCTCACTTGGATCTTATCTCACTTGGATCTTTTCACTGGATCAGCAGGAAGTGGTTCAGCTGAGATTGTTCCTCGATGCTCAAATTTAACTGGAGACTTAATTTTTCTTAAGAATTCCAGAAGTTGCCCAGATGTCTCTTTAACATTGTCCCGTCTTTCCCAGGCGTTCTTCTTGGGCCTTATTCTCCTTCCTCTACGCATTGTGTTCATCCTGCTCCTGGTGGTCCTGGCATGGCCTTTTGTACTTCTGGCGACATCCCGTGCCACGGAAAAAGGCTCGGTGCCACTTCGAGGATGGAAAAGGTAATATGGGAAATATCTAAAGACTATTATTTTTTTTTTCATGGAGGCATCGCCTGATCATAAAAGAGCACAGAACGTGAAACAATTTAGATAACGTCTGCAGTTTTCCTGGATCATTTATTATCAGCAACATCTTAATTTTCATTCTGCCATGAAATTAAAGTTGACTCTACATAAATCACCTCCTGTTTGTGTTTGTAAATGTAGCTTAGGAACCCAATGATGCTCAGAGGCCTACAGGTAATGAGAAATGTGGACCAATTCCAACATTTTGGAGCAACCCTGGATTAAAAGCTCACAAATATGCAGTGTTGGACTTCATTTTGCCCTGTTTATAGCAAGCAGAACTGAAGGATTGCAATGCTTTCTTTTTCTTTTCCTTCTGAAAAATGAATCTATATGACTCTAAGCTTCCTGTTTTAAGATTGGAAGACGTGTGTCTCAATGTTAGCTGACACGTGCTGTTATGGTGTCAACGATAACAATGTTTATTTGATAACTATCTTTATTTTTTTTCAGTATTCAGAAATCTGTCCCAAAACTCTCTATTTCTATCTATCCACCCATTTCTTTTAACTTTGTTAAGTGATCTCTTGCAATGATACATAAATATTAATGCAAGAAATACCATTCCTTGTATGATATTCTATAAACCTAACAATGAATGAATCCATATGACTCTAAACTTCCTGTTTTAAAATTGGAAGATGTGTATTTCAGCATTAGCTGACATGTGCTGTTATGGTGTTAAAA